ATAGATGCAGATATGAAAGACGAAAGAATTGTAAAGCAACACAAAGAAAGAGTGCAGATATGAATCCCGCAATGATTGATTAAAAGGCTAAGGTGCAGTAGGGCTTTAGCTTAGTTGAGAATGATCAGATGATATTTTTTCCTCAAAATTCTTGAAATAGGAAACTAATCAGATTGGATTTATATTTCTGAAGAGTGAAAAACAAAGGTATAAGAAGCGGTTGTTTTTGGTGCTGCCTGCTCTTCACAATTTAAATACAATAGTTTTAAGAAAAGGTCATAAAGAAGAAGATAATACCTGATGGGTTAGGCGGAGTTGCTCGATAGATGCACCATGACTGGTGAACGGGCGCAAACTTGTCAAAATGCATCCAAAATTGAATCTGGAATGTTTCTTCTTCGTACTGGCTCATTCGTGCACAATGGGTTTGGCTAATTCTGAGGGTCAACCGATGGGTTCCGGAAGCTGCTCACCGGAATCGATGCTTGACGGGCCGGTTTCTTGAACTTCTCCGGTCGCATAGGGGAACAGGCGCCGGTTAAAGCATATGAAATGGCTTTTTTGGGTGGCGTCTGATTTTCAAGGCCGAATGTGAAACACTCTTGTAAACAATAAATCCACCTCAATGGCATGTCACCTCCATCTCACCTTCCACGTGTCACCCTCACAATGAAATAACCCTACTTTAATTTTATTTTTTGAATGTATACTTGGTGACCAAACTATATGAATACTCTAAGGCATAATGTGTAGTGAGTAGAAATAATCATTTTTTAGGTCTCTTATGTCATTTCTTTGAATTGTGGATTTCAGATAGATAATAGTGTTTTAGGGTACATTTTTAAAAGCATTCTTTTTTTAATAAAGAAAGGTAGAAGGGTAGAGGAGTTAACGATCCACCCGATAACGAAGTCCTTGGTTTGAACGACATTGGAACATGACAGAGGATGCTAAAATATGTAACCCTTTTATTCCTTGATAGAGTAAAGTTTCAGAGATTATAGTGAAAAAATAAATTCAAAACAACTACCATTTGAATTGCTGATGGTAAAATCCAAATTTCAAATAATATCATAAAAATTCAGAAAGTGTATTTTGAAATAATGGTAAGGGTGAAAAGTATTTTCAACATAGTCTTTAAGAAATCTTGATAGTATTTAGAACCACAACAAAAAACAAGAAAGTAAAACGCAATTGCCTTAACTCAAAACACAACCTAGAGTCTGACCTAAACATTAAAATCCAACGGATTGTACCCGCAAACCTAACGCAAATTTGATTGTCAAACACTAAAGTTAAAAGTCAACCTAGAACCTAACCCAAAACCAAACCAAAAATCAGGTCCAATCCCCAAAGTAAGAAACAAAATCCCTACCCAGAACCTAACCCAACAACCAATTGCAGGGGTGCATTAAGCTATTCCCATGTTTAAAAATTGTGAATAAGTAC